ACATAGTTTATCAAATTTGAATAAAAAGTGAATTGAACATTGTTTAAAATAACAATGAAACATTGTAAAAAGTTTTTAAAATTGTATTTATTTATTTTATACAATTCATACACACACCATTTAAGTACAATTTAAATCAAAATTAAAAATAAAATAGTTGTATTGGATTACATAAAAATAATGTAGTTTAAATTAATACAAGGTTAAGAAAATTTTATATTTAAAATGTTTTCCCATGGAGGCAATATATATTTTTAAACTTTATACTACATCCATCGCATAATCGCACATTTCAAAAAAAAAAAAAAAAAAAAAAAAAAATGACTGTTTATTAAACTTTAATAAACACTGTTTTTGAAATTGCATTTTATGAATAATATACAAACAGTTCTAACGATAAAATATATCGCAACGTTTTTCAAAAACATATAATATTTTCTTAGCTCTAATTTAAAATTTCTTTCATTTATTATGTTTAACAACCTTATCAAATGTTTGATGAATCATTAATTTTTCTTGTTTTATTTGTTTCATTGCATTACATTCAAATTCTTTTTCTTTAAACATTTCAATACAAAAATTTCAAACAATTTAAATTTTTTTCGAAAGAGGTTAATAAGGAAAAAACAACACTAATTTATAACGAATGTGGGCAAAACAGTCGTTAAAATCCAACATGTGGGGCAAAACATTATTCTTAATAAAATTAAATTTTAAAGTTTTATTTTGTCTCGATAAAATTTTAAAATTTAATTTTAATAGAAATACAGGAATACAAGACAAAATATTTGTTTAAAAAATAAACATGGGCAGTCCTTACGAATTAAAAGCTTTTTATTAAAAATCGTTTACGATTAGAAAATTTTTTGGAATATTTTTATGTCAAGCGTAACAACATTAAAGAGTAAACAGACATATAAAATTATAACTTCGAGTGATTTTTTTCATTTAAAAATTATAAAATAGACAAAATATATATTCGATAAAAGTTAATAAAATAATTAATCATTATTTACAATTTGTTGCAGGCTAGTGATATCGTATCTTACTAAATTTATAATCGATATTAAAATATTTAATCGAAATGTTAGAGAAAATATTAAAACAAATACATTTGCTATATATATATATATCTTTTAAAAAGTTTGTGCTAATGAATTTTGAACATTATTTTAACAAGAACAGAGCAAACTTGTGAGAGGGCCTTGTGTATAATGTTTTAATTGAACACAATTCACGCTTAATTAACAACATTTACTGGATACGTTTTTAAGGTGTCAATAATGCCATACTTATTTTCAGTAGTAATATAATACAAAAAAAAAAAAGTTTCTTTTATTTAAAATCACTTCTACGATAGCCATGTGTCGCATATTAATAACAGTTGTAGGTTGTTAGGCAATAACATAAACATAAAATCTTTGAATGTAAAAAAAATATTTGCATAAAAATAAACACGTAAAAAACTAAATTAAAACGGTATTTGTTAAATTATTCACGTTTAAAAAATTAAATAAAAA